CATTCTATTTCTTTAAATTTTTTTTAGTTTAAAATTATCTGATCCATCAATGAAATAGATTTAATATAATTAAAAAATGTTTAAAAGAAGAAAAGTGATAAAAAATAAAACAAAAAATATTTAAATAAAAGGAGATAATTAAATGTTAATAGTTTTATTTCCTACTATTGTTCATTGTCAGTGGAGATTATTCACTTTACTTTAAGAGTGTTTGGTTAATATTAGTTTATTCTTTGATTTTAGTTGTCGAAATATGAAAATTTCCTTTCTTCATTTATTTATTGTAGAATAAAGTATTTTAGATATCTCTGACTTAAATGTTCATCACTTAAGTTACTACCTGATTTTAATATGTTATTTAAAATTCTTCTTCTTTACTTTGTTTTTTAAGAAGAATAAATCATTATTATTAATTTTCATTTTAACATCAACTATAACAATAGATAGTTTTTCATTGACGATATGCATTTTTCAAATGTGCTTGTATCCTAACAAGTAAATAATACTATCACCTTTATAAATAAGTACACGTTCATTATCAATGATATTCCATTATCGTAAATAATAATCACTAGTACTCTTGCAGTATTAGGTAAGATGTTTTCTAACCAATGGTAACGTTATACCTAAACGATAACTGATGGTTCAAAATTTGGGTTGATTTATTTTAGGGTTTTGTGTAGTGTCTCTGATATGCCACATTTGAATCCCAAAAATAAGTAAAATTATAATAAATATGAAAGAAATAAAAATAGTGGAAATTAACAATAAATTTTATTTATTTTTGATATCTCTATTTGTCTTAATCATTAGAACTTTATGAATTAAAAGTATGTTACTCTTGCTAGAGTTCATACAAATATTGTTCTTTGTTAATTCTTATGCATCGGAGTGTATTATTAATGAGGGTACATGTACTTCAGATATGACAACTGTCGATAGTCAATGTACTGATTTAGTGTTATCTGGAATCAGTTATTTTTCCTATGTAAGCAAATGCCGTGTAAATTCAAAAGACTTAGTGTTACATGTTAAGTCAGAGTTACATCTTAAAGTTAGTTCAGACTCAAATTATTTCATAAATGAAGGGGGTGTTTCTGTAGAAGATTATATTACATTAAAATTATCAGGTTATAATCAATTTGACAAATACTTTATATGGAATATTGGAAATAGTGCAGAGGTAATTCTTACAGACCCCTATACTATGGTAGGTTCTAACCTTATTATTTCTGATTATTTATTAAAAGGTCTTATTTCAATAGAAATAAAAAGTAGTTCTAAGCTTGAAGTGTCAGCAGGTGTATTAACTACACCTAACTTTTATATACAGGGTGAATTTAAATCAAAAAATTCATTACTTGACTTAACAGATATTGTTATCAATTCACAATCAAACGATATATTAGAAGATTCAATCTTAGATTCAACGTCCATAAAAATTTCTGAAGAAGGAAAGTTCACTGCTACAGGAGAAACATACCTAACTATTTCAACAATGGAGGTAATAGGTTCTGGAACTTATGTTTGTGAAGGGAATTCTAAATCACGTATTTCAAATATTTCTACAGCAGATACTTCAGTTGTAATAATTAAAGATAATTGTTCTGGGACGTTCTCATCAGTGACACTTTTTGGAACAACATATTTTAATAGCACTAAACCTATTTATATTATTTCTACAACACATTCAGAAGTTACTATTGATGGTAACCTTTACTTCAACAGAGATTCTATTGAGACTGGAGTACCATACTTTGTTATTATGTCTTCTAGTTCTTTGAATATACAAGGGCAAAAAGTAGAATATCCAGAATCAAATTGTCTTGATATTGTTTCTTCTACAATTCCACTTAATACTATTCTTTCAGACACTGATGTTCTTCTCTGTAATCAAAGATTATTAAGAAGATGTTTAACTAGAGAATTGATACTTAAAACAATTTATTGTAGAATGAATGGTACAAAATATCTTGACGATTATTCTAAAAAAGAAAGTGATGATGATTATCCATTCACTTTTCCACATTGTCCATGCAGTGGGTATGATTGTTATACTTATTCTAGTATTTCTTCTGAACTTG